AAAAAGAGACATAATATTTAGGTAAAGGTTCCCCTTACGCATATGTGCTAGTCGTTCCCGACTCTAGGGGGTGGTGCTCATCTCCGTTTCCAAGCTGAAGAGCCAGTGCTGTCCAAAGACGTCTCTGTGGTCATGTGGCCGGCATGACTCAATGCCAAAAGCGCACAGAACTCTGTTACCTTCCCACCAAAGGTGGTTCCTATTTTCTACTTGTATTTTTACATGCTTTCGAACTGCTAGGTTGTCAGAAGCTGGGACAAGTAACAGGAGCTCACTCAATTACGTGGTGCTAGGGATTTGAACCACAGAACTGCCAGTCTTTCTGATCAACAAGCTCACATTTTAGCCTCTGAGCCACCGTGTCTCAAACAATATTTAGTGCAATATAAAAAATGCAAATAATTTTTCTGTGGACTACAAAAATGTTCACGAACCACCAATTAGTTGGTGACCACTCCTCTAGGATGTCTCTCCACATTTAGAAATTAATGAGTGGATCTTCTTTTATTAAAATGAGCCAAGATGATAGAAGCCTTTTCAAATAAGAATCAGAACCTCTTTGGGTTTCTGGTGTTACTGTTGTTTGGTTTGGGGGTGCTAAGAGCTGAACTAATTCCATATGAGTGTAGTTTTACTGTAGGTTGAGTCAGAATACCTACCTTCTAGTGTTGTTCTATGTATTTCTGAACCCTGGGTGTTTTTGGATTTCTACAGCACAAGAATGTTGATCTTCAAGGAGCTGAAGATGTGGTAAGCAATCCTGTCTTTGAACTCTGTGAGGTTGTTAAAGGGCTGAAGCAGCCTTGGTCAGACAACTAGATTGCCAAGAAGTCTGCTTTGAGAAGGAATTTGTAAAAGTGGGCACCATGGGTATATTTTTAATTCTGTATATGTTACTCCCATGTGACACACAAGACAGCAATGTGTTTACAGTTGTCTCTATTGATCCTTGGAAGGCTTTTGTCCCACTTTGAATAGGTACATTGGAAAAAGGACATTTTAACAACAACAACAACAAAAATTGGATTGGTGGGGTGCTGCAAAACAGAGGGACAGTCTGTGGCATCCCTTTTATTTCCAAGACTGCCTGTCAGGTCTCATAAACTTTTATGGAAAATGAAAATGGTAGATAGACACTGCAGCACAATGATTCCTTGCGCCAGAAGAAGAGAACAAGAGAATTGGGGATTATAGGCAAAATCCTGGGTAAAAGAAATCTAGATGACAAAAAGGAGCATTCTGATAAATTGATAGAGGGAATTGGTTGCGTGCAACATTTATGTGACTGCCCACAATGCATTTGCAAAAAAATAATAATAATCTACAGGCACTCACCCAACTCCCAAAAGGTTGAATAGTCTTGATCTAGTAGATCCCGTTTCTTGATATCTTTCATGACTGCCTTGTCAGTCATGAATGGTGGTGAGTGAGAAGACTTCTTCTAGAAGTCTTCTAGGGCTTGTTTCCTCCACCAAACTTCAAAGAAAGCCACTAAGTTTTGACTTTAAAGCTGAAATGGCACTCTGGGACTATGAAGTACCCAACCACTCTTCAGAATATAGTTGATTGAGTACAGCACCACGCTAAGCATCTGGTACCAGATGTTGACAGAGTGATGAAACATTGCAACATGACAACTTAGACGCACACGCACACACACACCGCCTTTCAAACTTGCGCTCTGATTCTTGACACAAAGACATAGGTCATGGGATTCTCAATGGGATGTTGCAACACATGTTTCACCGTTTAACCCTTTCACCACTCCTCACCCCACCCCACCCCTCATGCTCACCTATGAGCTCTGAGGAAAGTCTGCAAAGTCTTAGCCTGATAGGTTAATTATGTCTGAAGGGGAAAGTTTTTAGGACAGGGCAACAATGTCATCCAGAAGTCTGCAGTTCTCCTTTAGACTGTTGGACATATTTGGAATATTTCAAATTTAACATTGGGCTTTTAAATTTCAGCCACTTTCTAAGACTGTGGGCACCTTAGAAGATGCTTATTGGTAGAGAAAGGACAGTAGTAATAGCTCTTAGACTTATATACCGCTTTGTAGTGCTTTTACAGCCCTCTCTAAATGGTTTATAGAGTCAGCATATTGCCCCCAACAATCTGGGTCCTCATTTTACCCACCTCAGAAGAATAGAAGGCAAATCTTGAGCTTAGTGAGATTTGAACTGCCGAACTGCAGCTAGCAGTCAGCTGAAGTAGCCTGCAGTGCTGCACTCTAACCACTGCACCACCTCGGCTCTATAAAGTCATTGATACTGTCTGCAGCCAATCATAAAACACCTATTTACCATTTATGATGTTGCTGTCCTCCTCCTCCTCCTCCTCCTCCTCCTCCTCTTCCTCCTCCAGCACCACCACCACCACCTTTAAGAAAGTCACATGAAGCTGGATCTGTGATAGTCAATCACATAAAATGACATTAGTGCCCACAGAACCATGCTGTCTATTGATAGTCTAACCAGAAACCGCCCCACTCCTAAAATCCTGATTTTATCAAGGAGCAGCAATAAAACATTGTTCAGAATTGCCATTTTGATTCCTTGTAGGATTTGCAACAGCTACTAACCAAAATTGAATCTAAGCTGCTTCCCCCCGTTCTGCTGTTGAAGGTCAGACCACCCAAACCTCTTTCAGGTTAGAACCTACTCAACTCCTTTCTGCTTTCTCCATGTTTGTGCTTCGTTGTGCTGGGGCAAACAAGCAAGAAAAATGGAAAGCAATAGGTTCCTGCCCTTTGGACAGGGGCGGGCTTCAAAAATTGCAGCAACGGGTTTGCTGCCCCATTTGCTGGGTGGGCATGGTCATGGCAGGCGTGGCCTAGTTGGCCTCCTGCACCATGTGGGGGGCATTTTTCACCCTCCCCAGGCTCCAGAGGCTTTCTTTGAGCCTCCTGGAGGGCAAAAGCTGCTCCCCCCAGGATCCAGAGGCTCTCTGGAGGTTGAAAACAGGCCCATCTCCCAACTTCCGGAACCTCCGGTAAGCCCGTTTCCCCCCTTCCCTGAGCCTCCGGGCGGACCCTGCTCTTACCTGGTATGATGAAGTGACGTGGAGACTCCTGGGAGGGGCGGAGTGGGAGAGGCAGGGTGGGTGTGGCCAGCCAGGGGTGGCATTTGGGGATTCGCCAAACTGGGCAGAATCCTAGCAAGAGGATCACCTGAACCGGTGCGAACCCCTAGCAGCCCACGCATGGTTCCTGCCTTTTTGGAACATCTCCCCCCCCTCCCCCAAAGTGAGGTTGGCTCCAACCCTCCTGACCAGTGGTGGGAGTCACTTACCTTTGCTACCGGTTCGCAAATGTGAGCACGCTTGCATGTGCCACCTTCTGTGCATGTGCACCGCATGCATAGAAAGTCATGTGTGTGTGGGTGGGCGGAGCCTCCAGCAGTTGCCGCTACCGGTTCGCCTGAACCGATAAGAAGTGGCCGAATGCCACCTCTGCTCCTGACATTCTGCAAATGCTTAAAGACCTTTCAAAGCTATGGAAAACCTTGCCATTTATTTCTAATAGCTCACCATTAAATTATAATGACATGACTTCAGGGTGCTCCAGAGCCATAGAAAGGTGGTTTGGAGTACCTGTCGCAGTGGTGTCCAACTGGTATGGTTGAAACGGCCCTGGCGTCACCCACATGGACGCACACGCTGCGCGCATGCATCGTACTTGCCTGAGATGCTTCTGCAAGCCTCCCCGATGCTCCAGCTGCTCGGCCGAGCATCGCACAGGCGCCATATGCACCATGCGCGTACGCAGAAGGGCCAAAGGCTTAAAGGACAGGTAAGGAGCTCGGGTGGGCCCTCCGGAGCACCATAACGGAATGGTACCCGGTGCTCCGGGCAGGCTCCGGGTATGCTCGTACCGCCTGCAACCCACCACTGACCTGTGGGATGTCGTATTGACTCTTATCCGTAAAAGGTAGCAGGGAAAAGTATTACTTGGAGGGTGAGCAAGAATTTCCCCTATAAGCTGAATGTAAGTCAAGTTAGGAGCAGAAACTACTGAAAAAGAAAAAGGGGGCAACGATCAGAAGGTAGCGGTAAGAAAGAAACAGAAAAAGAAAGGGAAGAGTGAGTGTGTGAGCGAGCTGGGATGGAAGGAAAGAAAGACACGATGAAAGAGTGGTTCAAGAACTTCTTTTTTTTTAATCACTTAAAATTGCCAGCAGAGAATCTGACATTTCAGTTAGCAACCCCATTGCTGACACAAGCCTTTCTAATCTTGCCTAAGAGGTTTGTGTTAATTATGTTGATTCTTATTGCTATGTTATTATAATTGTTGGTAACTACTTGCATTGACTACTTTTTTAATAATCGGGTAATGAAATATTTATATTAATTGGACGGAGAGATGCAAAAGGCTTCATTCTTTAGGGGAAAACAATGAAGCAGAGCTAAGTTGTTATGAAAGAAGAAATGGTGGACCTTGTTTTACAAGGCTGATTCATTGCACCTCGTAAAGCTGCACCAAGAGGGATATACAGTATGTCTTCAGACATTATTACGTCCAATATTCTCAAGGGACCAGTTGAAAGGAAAGGGGGGGCATGTTAATTTTGTGGAGCTGCTGCCTGTGCCAGGCTTGGGTGTTGGTGATCCCCTTGTGGTCATCAACATATGAAAGAGCATGCTTATCTCTCAAGATGCTACTGTTGTGGCCCACCAGCTGGCAACAGAGTCGGACAGTGAGGAGGTTGGGGAGAAACATGGGCCAGTCCTGGAGGCTGGGGAAGGCTCGGATGAGGGCTCTGTGTCGGAGGCAGAGGTGGGGCCAAGGCCGTCTGGCAGTGATCAGGTGCCTTTGGAGCTAGACAGCAGTGAGGCAGAGGAACAGCTGGAGCCTGTTCCCAGTGTGCGCATGCGCAGAGCTGCCAGAAGAAAAGAACAACTCATAAATCAGGGTAGACTTGGGAGTAAAGTTCACAGGTGGAAGGTGATTGGCCCCTCCCATAGGAAATAAAAGAGGAGCGAAAGGGGGCTTTTACAGGGAACAATTCGTTTGGTAGTTAGATTCGTTTCAGGAACATCTGTCCGTAAATCTCAGAGACTTTGTGCCTAGTCTTTCAGCACCTTGTGTGGAAAATATTTACATGGCAGCTTTCCAATCTAGATAAGGTCTGTAGTCATAAATATTCCTTTGAAAGACTGTTTACCAGACCTTTGCTGAATGTGAATGAGAGGAATTCACATTTGTTTAAATAAAGGGTTTTTGTCGAGACCAGGACTCTGCCTCGCGCTTTTTGGGGAAGCCTAGCTCAGAACATCTACTCTGTGTATTTGCTCATGTTTCTTAGCAATTTTGAGATATGAGGACTTTGACTCCCAGAATTCCTCAGCCAGCATGTGTGGATTTCAGCTCTCAGAATCCTGGGAGTTGAAGTTCACACATCTTAAAGAAGCCAAGTTCGAGAAACACTGCCTTAAGAAATAAGCCTCACGGTATTCCTTGAGGTTTGCTCCTAGGCTTTCAACCTGAGCCTCTCACTTAATCAGTTCACCTATTTCTTTTTTCTCTCTCTAAAAGTCCAAGAGATTATAGCTTCCCAAAATTAAAGACGAATAAACAAAACGAGCAGAAGCGGGTTTCAAGGGAATTGGATTGATGGAAAGGGTTTTTTAAAACACTGTTTTGTTGACATTCAGCAAGTGCATTTAAGAGTCCATTTGAAGCTTTAATGAAGAGTGACGAAGGACATGTGATCGGCCTGGGCTACAACAACTTGATCAGAGAGTGCCAGATGGAATGCCTGCAAGAGATTTTTAACAGCAGGTTCCAGCAGTACCTGGAGATAGAGGAGGATCTGGAGAGCAAAGAGGAAACACCTAGGTAAGAGAAGGAGAGGATCTGCTACTGCTGTCGATTTCCAGTTGTATTGTTGAGAAAATATGATGCAGTGGCTCAGTGGTTAAGACGCTGAGCTTGTCAATCAGAAAGGTTGGCTGTTCGATGGTTCAATTCCCTAGCGCCGCCTAATGTAGTGAGCTCCCATTACTTGTCCCAGCTTCTGCCAACCTAGCAGTTCGAAAGCACGTAAAAAACGCAAGTAGAAAAATAGGAACCACCTTTGGTGGGAAGGGAACAGCATTCCATGCACCTTTGGCGTTTAGTCATGCCGGCTGCATGGCCACAGAGACGCCTTCGGACAGCACTGGCTCTTCAGCTTTGAAACATAGATGAGCACTGCCCCCTAGAGTCGGGAATGACTAGCACATACATGCAAGGGGAACCTTTACCTTTAACTATGTAATTCTGTTGCTGAGATAAAAACTGGTAAGGTGCAGGGACCTTCACCTGGTTTCCTAAGATGATCTGATAACGTTTTTCTGATTTTTCTAATAGCCTTCCCATAGTTTTTCCAGTCATTTTGGCCATCAGGATTTGAAACATAATTGATTTGGAGGGAGCCACCTTACAGAAAGCTACTTATATGTGCATTTTAATTGGAAGATAGGAATAGCAATAACACTTCATAGTGCTTTACAGCCCTCTCTAAGCAGTTTATAGAGTCAACAAATTTCCCCCAACAATCTGGATCTTCATTTTACCAACCTCAGAAAAATGGAAAGTTGAGTCAACCTTGAGCTGGTGAGGATCGAACTGCTGGCAGTGAACAGTGAATTAGCCTGTGATACTGAATTTTTATCGCTGCGCCACCACAGCTCCTCTTCCTTTGGGGGAAAATGTGAGCAACGTACAAATAACCCTAATAAATAACGCTCCTCCAAACCAGTGCTATTGGCTTCCTTAAATCTCTTGATAATATGTGTGTTTTCATGAATTGTTGTCTCTGTCTATTTCAGCTGTGCAAAATTCCATTTTCACTTAGCTGGCCGCACCTTTCAAACTGGAACTGAATTAAAAGCTGAGACAGGTAATTTCCCATGCTGGGCAGCAGTTGTGGGATTCAAAAACTTTTACTACCGGTTCTGCGGATGGTGGTGTGGCTTGGTGAGAGTGGCTGGGGAAGGATACTGCAAAATCTCCATTCCTTTCCCACCCCACTCCAGGGCAAGTATACTGTATAATCTCCATTTCCACCCCACTCCAGGGCAAGGATACTGTAAAATCCCCATTTCCTCCCCACCCCACTACCCGGCTTTCCAGCTCCGTTCTCCTAGGCAGGGCAACAGAAAAAGACCCAGCCGATCAGCTGGGACTCGGGAGGCAGCAAATAGATGTGACGGAGCCAGCCAGAAGTGGTATTTTCCGGTTCTTCGAACTACTTAAAATTTCCGCTACCGGTTCGCCAGAACCAATCAGAACTGGGTGAATCCCACCTCTGTTTGCGGGACTTTTAATAGTCCTGATGAAACTCCTTCAGCAGAATTATAGTTTGAATATGAACACAATCAAACATGTTTAGGCCAGGAGTCTGCCCTCTGTGGTGGGATTTCAACTTGCACTTTGCATTTCAACTTTGTTTCCTGATTTTCGTTTTCCCATGCTCTTTCCAAAGGAAAGAACAAGGGGGATCGGGAAAATAAAATACTTTGCCTTTCCAATCTTTCTCAGGGCTTTATCTCTGAGTGCCTTTTGTTTTGTTTATATTTTCTAGACCCGCCTGTCGCGTTCAGTGTTCACTGGAGCAATAGTCACAATCTTTGCTTCTATTTCCTGAGTCGTCCACCCAAGGAAAGACATGGTAATGCAACTGTGGACTCTCCCTACAAGAATTTTCTGAAGTTTTATGTGCATTTCAGAGTTTCTGGCGATATATTTCAGACGCCTCAAGGCACAGTTCTCTGTGCAGACTGTTTTATGGGGGGGGGGAGGGGTTTGAAATTCAACAGCCAAATCTTGGTAACAGATCATATTTCATAAAACAGAAAAAAAAAACAGTCTAGGAGATCTGAATGACAAGAATTTGGCGCTAGGAGTTGCCCCATGATTTTAGCTCAATTTATTAGCAGAAAAACAAGAAAAGCAAAGTCTAAACGTGTTTTGAAGAGTAGCTTTAGAAAATTAGCCACCTGAAAAATTCTCTTTTGCAAAATATATTATGAGATTGCGCATTTTGCTAAAGCGTAGTTTGTTTTTACCATAGTTGTGCTGAATATGCTAAAATTGATTACATTCATGCAAGATTTGTAGCCATAAATTGCACTGGAACGACAAGCACATATGTGTGAGGGGAACCTTTACCCAAGTTTACATAACATGTTAAGATGAAACCAGAACTGAAAATCACTCCATGAGGGTTATCACAATGTTGACAGTGAGCCTTTATTGATTAGCCCTTGGGCCATATCAAAGTGCAAAGTTCCGAAAACAAATAATTACTAAAATTTGATAAAAGCAATTTAGAATGGAATTTGATCAAATACAATTTAAAGTGGAATTGCAATAAAATACGATTTAAGATGAAATTGGAATCAAATACAGTCTAAAATGAAATTGGAATAGAATACAATGATTTAAGCTGTAGATAAAATAGGATAAAATTATACAGCTTGACACAATGGTCAGATATGGGAGATTCCATTCTATACCCTACAATGAGCGTCTCCGCATTTGTGGAGCGGCAGAGGTAGAAGACCTGGTTTATATCCTATTGGATTGTTGCTTGTATAAGGGGGTGAGAGACAGGGACCTTGGTCCATAAGAAGGACCCATTGGGATCCCCATATCAAAAACAACTTACCTTATGTGCAGCCAGAACCGGCAAATAACATTTAACACAGCACAGTACTTAAGCAAAATGGTTTGGTTTAGCACAATGTATTTATTTAGGTTCTTGGTTACACAGTTGGCCCATCTCATTCAAAGCTCATAAATGCTAAAACACATAATCCAGCACCACCATGGGATTCTGGATTGCCAGTTTCTGTAGCAACTTGCTAATAAGGTGGATTCTGCTTAGTCCTACGTGTAGCAGTATGAATTGAAAAGAGAGAGGTGGAGAATCTAGAGTGGTTCTAAGCAGAAGATGATGTTCTTTTCCTTACTATGAGGCCCATCTCTCATACGATCTTCTGTTCCTTCCAGATTCTGATCCCAAACCAGATATTATTTGGCCATGCGCTGCTCCGATTGTATATTCAACTGTCAGCTCTTGCTCGTCTTACTTTGCTTTTGCCTGTGAAGACAGGGTCATTACTTTGTGGGACACATCAGTTGGTGAGCTTATTTTTTTTATTTATTTGATTTGTCAATCGTTTACAAAATAATAGGTATAAGAATAAATGTGAGCATGAATGAAATGGGGACAGTAGGACAGGGAAGGTAGGCACGACAGTGCGCTTGTGCATGCCCCATTTACAGACCTCTTAGGAATCGGGTGAGATCAATAGTAGACAGTTTAAGGTTAAAGTTATGGGGATTTGAAGATGTAACAACGGAGTCAGGCAGAGTCACCACCCTATAATCAAATGTCTTATTTTATCACATGCGGACCCCAAATTAAATTTTATTGGAAACCTTGTTGGGGAGTTTGGACTTCAAATGTATATAAAAGCAAAAACCACTCACACCAGATCACGAAATCTCCAGAACCGTAAAGCCTACAAACTTGAAATGTGACACCTATATTCCTCTTGGCTTCTAGGTGCTCGCTTAGAAAGGATTTTTCGAAATGACATTAGAATTTGTTATATTATTATTAACATGCTCTGATGCTAAGGAGTTCTACTCCCCTCTTCCCACCTGAAAAGATTTCTGTTCAAACTGCCACTTGGGCGTGGCCAGCGTGTGACTCATCCGACCTGATGGCTGGGAGTTTGGAGAGGAGCTTGAGGCAGAGAAGGAGATAAGATAGGAGAGGTATCAGTGAGCAAGGCTAAGGGAGAGAAGGGGATAGGAAAGGGGAGGTTTCTGTGGGGCAAGCCTGAGGGAGAGAAGGGGAGAGAAGAGACCGACCTGTAACTACTCATTAATTTTCAAGCTGTAAGTGTCGATTTATTAAGCCCAATCACATAGTTTCATAGTGGAGCATGGATATCCAGTTACTACTTAAATGTTTAGGCGATTGTCCAATTCTAGAAGACTTTGGACAGTATGCAACATGGGCTGGGCTTGTAATTCAGTTTATAAGAAGAAACCTAATGGCAATTTGGGGTAGCTTGATTGATTGATTGATTTAGGACTAGCTTAGGCTAGTATCCACTCTGTACTAATTTCTTCAGAAAGCTGACTCTGGTATAGTGAAATAAACGATTAGGGGAATCCTGATGAAGAGGAGCCCGCTATCCTATGTCTTCATTTGTGCTCTTCCAGGGTTTCCATTCTGTGCCATGGTGCTTCAAGAAGACTACGCCGCACGAAGCATCCAATTCATGCCACGTTTGCTGCCATCCAGAGAGAAAACATCTTGCTGCAGTAAGGATCCTGCCCACACCATGGTGCAGCTTTTGGTGCTCTGCACAGATGGATCCCTTCACCTGCTCACATCAGGGACCAAAGAATTTAAGTCCAAGTTATTAGGAATTAGGTGAGGCAGCCCACATAAAGGTAAAGCCCACATTTGGGGAAATTGGGATGAAGCTCATGAGTGGCATTCTCTGGCCCTGATTTCCCCTGAAGAAGAAATATACCCCATCTTACCAACTCCTATCCCATGACTGTGTTCACGAGGAAAAGGCATTGCATTTTATTGCTGTGACCTCTAGGCTGGAGTACTGCAATGTGCTCTACATGGGGCTGCCCTTGAAGAGCATTCGGCGACTGCAGCTGGTCCAGAATGCGGCCGCGAGAGCGATCGTGGGTGCACCTCGGTTCACCCACGTAA